ACGAGAAGTAAGAACAGATGTTTCTTCCTTTGATCACCGCAGGGATGTTAACTTCAAGGGCGGATTTTCAAAACTGTAAAGAGGAATATCATGGAAAATGTAATGTTAAAACAGTATGTAAAGTACATCATTGATTTTCGTCCTTACAGTATTTACTTATCTATTTAATGGTGAAATGGGAAACACTTATCTATTTAATGGTAAAATGGGAAACATTCCAACTTCTTTTTCAGTGTTTACTAAATTGTACTTTTAAGGCAAGTTTGGGCCTTTGAGTTGTATTGAATTTGTTGTATTGTATAGTATTGTACAACACATTGTTTGGTTTTGCGATATATTAATATTAATACGTTGTATTACATTATACAATGATTGTTTACCATCGTAAACCTTTTTCATCACCTCACGTTCCAATAACAAGTATTGCCCCGCGTTGCTTGTCATGCCGCCTTCAGAAGCTCCAACATCACGAATGAGTACTCAAATGATGGCTATATGACATTAGACCATCTAGTCACCTTTCTGAAGGAGGTCCAAGGAGAAGAGTACGCTCGAAAGGAAGATGCTCAGGCCATATTTGAGAGTCTTAAGCATCTCAAGATCTTTCACAGAAATGGCCTACATTTGGATGCCTTCTTCAGATATCTCCTTGGTGATCTCAATCATCCTCACACTCCAATGGTAATCGCCTTAATTTCTGTTAAATCTTATTGTTCTAATTGCTCTAATTTATAAACAGTTAAACATTAGTTGTTTAGTTTAGAGAAATGCTATATATCTAACCCCATTCCTACTCAAAAGCTACCGCTCTTAATTGGCATTCTGTGAGCCTTTCATTAAGAGAGAGAGAAGGTGTTTTAGCCTAGGAAACTGCATGAGAACGAGATTAAAAACTCCTTTCAGAATAAATAAAAACTTTGACGAAGTACAAATACATTATATTTTAATTTAGCTTCTATCATTTCATGTCAATTCATGAGTACAGTACCTTTGTTTTTTAGGATGTCTTTAATTTGATTGAAAATTATAAATGAAAGAGATGAGAGAAAGTTAAGAATCGAGAGAGAAAGCTAAGAATCGGAGAGACAATATGAGAGATAGAGTTATGAGAGACAAATGGAAAATCAACTCCCTTTCTCTGTTTTTTCTTTTTTCTTTCTTTTTTTTTCAATGTAATCTCAAAATCCTCATCTCAAAAAACCACAAATATATACATATATGTGTGTATATATATATCACATACTACCATAGACACCATCTGTGGCGGAAGGAGCAGAATTCAAGTCAGATGTGTTTTTATTCTAATTTTTGACGTGTTTATAAGGTTATTTCAATAACTGTTCTCCAAATCCTTATCACGTGTATTTTTCGTGCACACTTTCCTTCTACTTTTAACTTCAAGTTAACAATTTTACCATAATTGCCACTAAATTTTAAGTATAGCAAGATTTTTGCTCAAAAATTGGAATGGGGATAAAGTTGTCACACTTTTTGTAGCGACCCTTTGAGGCCGCCACTGTAACTAACTTTTTAACTTGTACTTACTGAAATTTCTTAAAATTTACGGAACATTTTTTTTTTAAAAGGTCTTATTATAAACATAAAATACGAAATTGCTTTCTTAATTAAAATATTCAAACCTTAACATATCTGTTTCATAATCATAATTAACAAAACTATTTGTAACATAAAGCTGATTGCGGAAATATTTGCGAGTGGTATCCATATCCCGAGCCCCACATCGTTCGTCCACTCGCCAGCAATCCATCAGGCATTATATGCCGGTTGCTTACCTACAGTATAAACATTCTATAATGAGCTTTCGCTCAGCAAGTAGGAACTATCTCCCGCAAAATAACTGTAAGTTCACATGAATAAATATGCATGAGCCAATTATGCTTAATTATGATGTCTTATCAGAATCTTATTATCTTATCTTATCTTTCTTACTGATGGGCCCGAGTGCTCGTACCACTTGCGCGCAATCATCGGGACGTAAGGGTTTGCAAGGTCCCCCATGACACCGTGATTATAACTTGAATACCTCCCTTGAGTCGGAGGACATCATTATATTTTTTTTTTCTCCCTTGTGGAGCTTGAGTTACCTCCCATGTGGAGGCTGATACGGCACTCAACTGAGATTATTCTTATAAGTTCCTCTTGACTTATTAAGGTGTATGCAATATGACCTAGCATAACATACTATATCATGTACTCGAACACATATAATTCGGGTGTACTGCCTAAGTGTATGTAGTATAACATAGCATAGCATTCATAACATTAAATGTACTCAAACATATATAGTTCATGTGTACTGTTTACTTTAAAATCTATTTATACTGTAGGCGAGATTCCTACTTACTTGATTTTCAAAGCTGGAATCCCTTTTTCGCCTATCAGCCTAGTCTCTTGCTTTCTTCTGAAAATGAACACCCATTAAGAGTGTGAGATTAACTGTTATTTGCTATTTTATTTTAGCAACTTATAAAGAAAAATCTAACTATTTCCATAAGGCATATATTCCTTTCCTTTACTAAAGGATAATAAAGATTAATCTATTAAATCTTCAAAATCTTATTTTCTTAAATTTCCCTTGGTATGATATTAAGGCCCAATTCGGCCTAGGACTTATACATGGCATTCTAACTTTTACGCCGCTGAAATTTATACTCCAACGGAATCTCTTAAACTAATGTGGGCGTTGGACCCACATTAAATATTCGAAATTCTACGGACCTATCGTATTGAGCTCGTAGGTGCCCGTCGGGATAATTCGCTCGGTAAACCTCTACGTTCTTTAAAGAAATCATTTTTCCTTGAAAAATTCCTTTATGAATACTTTCATTAAAATGAGGTTTAATGTCATTGTATTTTACTAAAATTCTATCTCGGGTTCTTTTATGACTTTTTGTTGAAACCGACACTATTTTAGTTTTGTCTCGTTAAAAACTGTGCAGTTTCTGAAATCTACGTTTTACTGTATCTTAGAGTCGGATTTCAAAATTTTGTTCTTCGCGAAAATTTCTCGTCTCGTCGAGATCTAAAATTGTCGTTTTTAGTGAAGATTGAAATTCGGCCTCTAAAGGCCTCGTTTGGCTGAAAACCATTGCTGCTGTTTTTTTTCCTGAAACTGTTTTAGTCAAAAACTGTGCTGTTTCG